CTCTGTATGGCTTTCTCATAATTCTCCGCCGTTGGCGGGAAACTACTTACTACTTCACATGCACGCGAACCCGTTTCCATAGACTGTATTAAATAATGAAATTTATCTTCTTTAGCCAATTCTGGATTCACGTGAATTTTCTTAAACGTTCCCCAAAACGGTAGCCAATCTTTAATATCGCCTCCGAATTTTCTTAATTCAATCTTTGGTAATTTTAGTGTGCGCATACTTTCCTGTGTCGTCGCGAGTGCAGAATACGACCGTCGAGATGAAGACTGTACTGGCGGCGTGGACTCGTGAGCTTCTTGCCTCTCAATCAATCCGGTTACCTCAAGTTTCGCTTGATGATACTTCGCTACATACTCATCCGCATGCTCTATTTCTTTGCAGAGGGCTTCTTCGGATTCTTCGGCTTCGATCATCAAGTTCCGTAATTTCAGGCTCAACTCATTGAGTTCACTTGCTTTGTCTTGCACCAGCGCGTACGCGACTTGTAACGAGGTTATGTCCAGCGGTTGTCTCGTCTTTTCCGCTTGAAAAGCAGTGTATTCGTAAACGCAATGCGCGTTACTTTCTGTGCGAGCTTCACTCTGTCCATGACTTCTTCTGTAAATCTCTACTTACTGTGTAATGGCCAACAACGAGAAGTCTTAGTCCTGTCACGGTCGCCAGATTGTTGTTGCGCCAAATTAATGGGTCACGGAAAGAAGAATGATACACTCAAAGACTGTTCGGCGAATATGCACGCCTTTTATTCGACAACATAATCCACTGGACTCTCACTACAAACCATAACCTCGCTAATCTCGCTTCGTTCGCGCATCGCTGCACACAACACAATAGCAGCGAACCGGGAAAAAAACCCAAAAACAAAAACGTACCAACGGCCGAACGCGTGAGCGGAAACGCTCCCGTGATGCCTTGCGCGCGGATTACGCGTATCCTTTTTGGGCGCGAACCGCGCATTCTACACATGTCTTGGATATATCGAGAATATACATACCCACGTATATCAGTTTGTCGAATTTTACCTCGAGTTTACGCATTTCTATCGCGACTAGATTCTTAGAAAAAACATTTCTATTGAAAGTTTGGTTTCGCGATCATTGCTTCCGCACCGTATCTCCCGTCCCAACGCGTTACAAGTCGCACATGATTATATACGTTCTCCATAGTTTTACCAAATATAGCATTATATTATTTATTAATTTATACAATTTATTAATTAATTAATACAAATTTTTCTCAACCTCATTTTTGGTAAGAGTTTTAAAATTCGTATTGAGTTCGATGTATTTGCGAAGCCATGAAGATTGCACGAATTGCAATACGCGGTAAATTTTTGCGACATTGAGATTGTGACATTGCTGTAGATTATAATAATGAATTACGTAACGCTTCTTATCAACGTAGCGACGAGCTTCTTCTCTCGCTTGTCGGATGATTTCTCGCACGTTGAACAGAATGATAGGTCTGTGTAGGAGCGTCGTGAAGATGTTGTGGATACTCCAAGACTACTCTAGAATTTGTCGATAAATTTGACGCGATCGTTGTAACATCAAAATTGTCTACATTGTTGACCCATCGAAAATCGGCATGGTTCGAAAATCGGTAATGTTTGACACATTGCCCAATCGTACAGGTTGTTAACATCAAAGTACATAAGGTACATCGACGGTTTCGATGGATCGTACGATTGCGATGTACTGGCATGTACTTGTTATCCTGTTATTATCTGTTTGAACATTGACTCAGATCTCCACGTATATCGCATTCGATGAACATGACCATGTCAATGTCCGTAGAAAGTTCAAATTTTACAGTTACATCGATACATTCGTCAATGTCAAACATACGGCGTAACATCGTTTCGATCGTCATGCGTACGGATGAAGAATTGGGACGTACGAGCGTAGCCATCGTTCAGCGTGCAAACTCTAGCTGTTAGCGGTACAACACTTATAAAATTGTCTTTGTATTCGTTTCGAAGCATCTTGTAATATTCCATCGCTGCTCATAGAGCAGGAACTCTTCCAGGTTTCGAGAGACAACGACAGTTCGTGTCCGCTATGATCTGTCAGGACGATCTCCACGTAACTTGGTAGACCAACGTTGATTCCAATTTCCCAAAATTTATAGCCCGTATTCATCAGATCGTAACGTCTGCTCAGTAGGTAAACGCACGATGCTGCGCATCGCACGATGCTGCGGACTGCATACATACATACATAATGTTAAAAAAAACGTTTCTTTTGTGTATAGAATGTTCAAACTTACATGTTATATTCCTTCTTTACGTCGTACGATGCGTTGCTCTCTTTGGCGAAGTTCATTTTTTTTAACTTTTCGTACAAGCGGGTATCGCAAAACTGATTGCATCCGCGTAAATTGTGACGTATATGGTAATACTTCTGGAATCGAAGAGGGGAGACAGGCCCTCCCCATACTTTCGAAGAATTTCAAACGTGTTGCGACATGTTTTATCACGTCTTTCTACATATTTTTTTGTCACAAGCTTATACGTACATTTATACATACGTTTATACATACATACATATTATATATACATATGTACGTACATACGTACGTACATACGTGCATACGTACATACGTACATACATACATACGTTTATACATATATGTTTATACGTACGAGTACAAGTATTACAAAGGAAGGGAAAAGAAATACATAATAAATACGTTAATGTATTTTTATTTAAATAATACTTTTGCAACCACCAGTTATATATTTTCAATACATTTTGTAATGCGCAATACTTAACATGTTGACCACATCGTATTATTATTATTAACATCCAGAAATTAGTTAAAGATTCCATGTCTTCATAAATTGCATCCAAGGTCTCGATGTACATGCATTCTCGCTCATCGTCCAGAAGAAAGTTCAGCCACGTTCATTTCTCGCGTCCCTTAACGTACACGATAGCATCATCTTCAAATACAGCCACTGTGATCAGGCGTTTAGCATCGCTGTACGGGACCATCCCGTCCTCCCATCCATGGTGATGTTCGGCAATCCATGGTGATGAGCACTCAACCAGGAAGCACAAAACCTGTCGGATCTTGTCAAAAATTTTCATTGCATGGGATTCGTAAAAATGTAATGCGTGAGAATAATCCTTTGTTTCAGTACCGCCACTTCCTTCACGATAAATTTCTTGTTAACGATGAATCCTTGCAGATCCACGAACGTTGGCACGGATATATTGTCGAGAAAACTGCGGTCGATTGCGGCGTATCGTAGATTTTATATCGTATCGGAGGTGCACTTAGGTGATTTTGCGCACAACGTTAGTCAATGGATTATGCTGAACCACACGATCGTGTATGATGAGACAATAGGGTGTTGTATTTGGAGGCACGTTCCCCTTAC